TCTGAGCTCAGCCATCCAGCCAGTTCTCAAGCCACCTCACCGTCCACTCATCTAGCCCACACTTCCTGAGCTTACCTAGGAGGATGTGATGGGAGACAGTATCAAAAGCCTTGCTGAAGTCCAGGTAGACAACATCCACTGCTCTCCCCTCATCTACCCAGCCAGTCATTCCGTCATAGAAGGCTATCAGATTGGTCAAGCATGATTTCCCTTTTGAGAACACAATGCAATCTGAAATATCTGAGGTTAAGACGACATTTCCTTGGCTGAGTCGTTTATATTCCCTAGTCCTCCATGTTCTTACTTTGCCCTCTGAAGTGCAAATGAATTGCTTGAGACAGGACAAGCACATCTGTATTTTTCATAAAGTACAACAATTTATGGTCTGATTTTGGCCATTATATTCTGAGATCAGATTCATTTAGTTTTGAAAACATCACAACAGGTTACCCAGTTAATAAATTGATATTAACATTGCAGTTAAAAATACTTATTCGATACATTGTTAGCTTGAAGACACATAAAACAAAGACTTTTACCTATAACCAATGTATACAATTTGGAGCTCAGTTAAAACATTTTCCTCTCAGACTTCTGAATAGTGTCATACTATAATTTTCATTTAAATTCAAACTACATTTAAAATTAAAGTGGTGCTCTCCAATGACCCATCTCCATGATACAATAGCCTGGGGCAGGAATAGCTCCAATAAATTTAGCCTTTTGGGGGAGTTACAGCAGAGGACATTTCAAGAGAGCGTACGATATGTGATTGCACTGTGGCTGCACACCTCTGACTTCAAGCCAGCAACAGCTTACCCCCAGTTTTAGAGGAGGTGGGCCTAACAGTCGTGTCTTAGGTCTGCAAGCCAAATCCAGTGTGGAGAGAGGAAGCTACACTATGTGGGCAAAAATACCAGAATTTGAAAATGCATATCTGTGCAGTTTCATTCATTTGCAGATTTATACTGATTCTTTTAAGAGGAAAGGCAAATATGGAACAGTGTTAATTTCCAAAAAATCAAGGTTTTGCTTCAGGAGGGAAGCACAACTGTCCGGTGTTTTCAAGAGACAAACTTGCAAAGAGAGAGCTCTCCTTCCGCTCCAGCCCTTCCACAGGCTCACTGTAATGCCTTCACAGGCCTTTTGACTTCACCTGACAACAGACCTGCATCAAAGAAATGCTTTGAGATCTTGAAATGAAGAAATATTCGTAACTAAAAAGCAGTTGCCTTAATGACACCCCTGAAAAGAGGCTCTGCATGCTGCAGCTGATCTTTAGTATAAGTGTAATTGCATTACTGAATGTTGTGGAGCGTGTTTTCATTCCTCTTCTGCATACGTTCAGTATGATTTTCTGAGTGAAATAAAAATCTATGCATAGTTGTGGAGTTGAGATTTCACGTAAGTTGTAGTGGACGACCTTCAGTTTTTGGTTTTGCCTGACAACCTTAAAAAATATAAGGTAAGTTACACCTTGACCTCACACTTTGACCTTTTAAAATTTACTTTTAAAATAGAGGTTATGTTTTATGCTGCAAATTATGCCTTTATCTCTTATAATCCCACAAGTCAGATATCATAGTCCCACTTCAATTATGCTAAACTCTTATGTTAATTTTAAATCATGTAACTTAATTCCTGGCAAAGCAGGCTGGTGATTTTCAAAATGTGGTTAATGAGGCAAAGTACAATCTAGATTCTGCTACGGAGATCATTTGAATCCCTTAGGTCACTGAAGATGGCTATGGAGAGGCTCTTCTTTACGAAAGTCTGGGTTAGATTTTCAAAAAATGAATTTTTAAGTGCAGTTAGGGGCTATGAAACTTGAAGTTGAGCATACAAAGAAGTTAAATTACTTTCACTAGAGCCATAGAACAACAGTGCAGCTAAAACAATTATGCTTCTGGGCACATACACACTTTAAAGACCTTAAGTAGTGTCCTCCCCTTTTAAATCACAAATGCAAACCATACCAGATTTTCAGATGACAATCCAGGGACCTGACGCCTATGTCCACAGATGCATGCAAATCAATGTCATTTTCCTTTTCATTTGCAGAAGCCAAACATTTGCTAATAACTGTTTCCCTTCCCCCCTCCCCCACTCAAACAAAGGCTTTACCTAAGACCAGTTAGTAGATGAAATCTTATGAGCTTGTGTAGCTTTTTCAATACAGATATACTGCCACCCCCAAATCTTTCATTCCCTGATCAGATAAGCTGAAAGTTTGCCACTTGCTCAAGCTTAAGGTTAAACTCAAGTTCTTCAGAGACTTTGTAATTCACTACTACTTATTTCCCTCAAATAATTAATTCATACAAAACTCATATATAAATTGTTCTGCATTCTTTATTAGCATGTTAAACTTCTTTTTTCTCAAATATTTTTGGACTATATTAGTACATAAGACAGTTTCTTGTCTGTAAATTAACAACGAACTAATACACATTCACAACAGACAAAACAGAGAAAATAGGCAGACATCGAAAGGTCAGTGCACGTTCATTTTTTATGCGATGTCTTTAACTACCTGAAAGAACTGCCTACAAAGACAGAGAAATTCATTCAGAATTGGAGGTGGGTATCAACACTTAAAAGATCAGAGAATCTAGAGATTTCTGCTGCATCAGTGGAAAAGATGCCTATACAGCACGGTAAAAACCTGAGTGAAAACTAAGGATTTTCTTTGTTTTCACATAACTTAGGAATGGATCACACAAAACTGAAACTCTGACAGGACGTGCTCTTTAAGGTCATAATGCAGATTCCCACTCAAGAACAACAGTCATCAAAGTGCAAGGCCAAATACAGGAAAAGGTTGTGCTCAGTAAAGGCACAGGGAACTTCATCCTACCCGTTAAAAAAAGTGACAGGCATGCAGGAGGTGCTGCAAGAATGGCTGGGAGCAACTACAAGGAAACCTCTCTCCAGCGCCTTTCCCAAAGGGCCGTCATCAGCTGTAGGGCAGCTGCCTTCTCCCCACAGAAACCGTGTTCCCAGCTCCGGGAATGGCACTATAGACAAACCGGGAGGGATTTGTACTGGGGAAGAAGGTGGAAGTCAGTCACAATCTTAAGGATAAAGGGAAGATTTAGGGATACACTATTAAGCTGAGTAAATGTTTAGCTATCCCATCCCTTTCCCCAAATGCTTCTCGTGTGACCATCCGTGGGTCCAGCTAGACAGGGGAACGGCTCACGTGAGTAAACTTGGGCACGTCCACGTGCCCGAGGTGCTCTGCTACGCCCTCTTCAGTGCTGAGGGCTGGCTCCTGTCCTCGCCATCTGGGGAGGATGGCTTGTGGGACTTTTCTCTTTCCTCCAAGGTCCCCAGGGAATGGGCTGCTACAGGTGCGGCCAGCTAGTAGCCAAACGCAGCACTACCTTTGCCTCTCACTGCCCAGTGTACTCTTTACCTTTCCCTTTCAGAGGGGCTCAGCCTGCCTTGGGAGAAACGTGTGGAGCCCGCTAGGCTACGCAGTGGTACTCTGGAGGCTGGAAGGGGCTTTTTTTGTCTGCTAAAGAGGAAGCAGAGAGAAACAAGCAGCAAGGGTACAGTAGGAAATGGTCTCTCCCTTCAGCAAAGGCCCATGATGAGTCCTGTGGAAATACTAAAGCCATGCAACTGCATGAAAGGACGGGGAAGGACAGTAATAGTTTTAATAGTGAACACTTGTTAAAAACAGGGGACAAATAATATTTTCCTTGCATCAGTTTCCTGTCAGACTATTGCATTAGTCTATTAATTGTTATGCGAAGATGCCAGAGCCAAACGCCACAGATCATATGGTATCCAAACAAGAGGTGTCACCTTTATTTCAGAAGGACAGGCATAGGAATTTCTCCCTATCCATTTTGCAGAGATTTTTCTGCTTCCTAGAACACTATTCTGGTCACCCATTCTACACCACCATGTGCCACTACGGATCACAGGAATAACTGCATGCATACCGATTAGACAGCACTTGAGGGAGAGGAGGGGAGAGTCAGGGGGATAGCACCTTTTCCTTTTACAACCATGACTGTGGGACTCCAGACACAAACTGCCTCTAGGACTCATTAGCAATACCCATCTTGCTGTTTAACACCGGGGCATCCACTCCCAACCCTGGGCTTTGCTGGATGCTAACAAGGCAGAAAGGACAGTAAAATGCAGGAGATAGCATTTTCCCTCGAAGCCCTGGGAGAAAAAAAGTAGTCCATGGATTTCGGAGGCGATGGGCATACATGATCCAACATTGGCAGACACAGAGCAGTCACAGCAACTGCACTGAAGGTGCTTCTCAGCAGAAGGTCCCATTGCCAACACCTAAGACTTTGCCCTACCACTTAAGATGAAGATTTCCTTGAATACTGGAAGCACACTGTGCATCATGTATTTGACTGTACTGTAAGTTAAAACATTAATTTTAATAGTATGTGTCAGTTCCCTGAGAGGGAGGTCTTTTTTGTGTCATCTGTAGTGCATCAGCTAAAATGGGGTTGTGGTCCATGACTTGGGATTGCAGGCTTACCAAAACCTCTTCTGCACAACAGCTGGCTGCTGCATTATTTGTAGTTTTCCTGCATTTGTATTCAAAAGCATCCTTCAATAAAATATAGCCAGCTCTGAAAATAGCTACAGTCTAATGGTAATCAAACAACCAAGCCTCAAAACTGAGAACACTGCAAACATTTTAGAAAATTAGCCAATGCCTTTTTTTATTGATAAGCTACAGAAAGTAAAAAATACATTCAAAAATAGCTTCAAAAACAATTTCTAAAACAGCAAGAATCATGTTATTCTGAATGCTTTCTTCTTAAACCATTAAAAGAACATTAGGTAAACTAATGCAACAGCTGCCTGTGCTACTGCTTCCACAACATAATCTATAACGGTAAAAGCAGCTTTTTTCAGGCATTTTAGTGCAATCTAGGCTGTTTACAGGTCTTTTTTTGTGCGTTTGCTTATAATTTTATGTCAATTGATGTCACTCCAGCTTATACCTAGAGTCAAGACAACTCCACTTAGCAGTTACTTTGTTTCCTTTCAGGGCTAACATCAAAGTAGTTGTTTCGAATCCTGAAATGATAAATAACTAATAGAAGCCTGAAGCGATTCTGGTGCTATACAACTGGTGATGTATAATTGAACATTAAGTAATCCAGGTAGTAGAAGTCGTAGGTCAGCTGTCTCTCTTGCTTAGACAATTCCTTTAAGTATTGCCTCACGACTTCTGCATTTGTTCTTTCATCAGAGGAATGTCGGTCTTTGAAATTAGGAAACTTCAGCTCAGCTGGAGCACCTACCAGCTGCAAAAAGTAATTAGCATCTTCTTCCAGGGTTTCAAACTTTCCTATAAAATCATAGTTGATGAGGCAGGGATAGCAGAGCTTACTGACTTGCTCCCAGTGTATGTCCATTCCTACCGGCCGATGGGAGTCTAACAAATACTGGATAAACTCTTTGAACTTAACTCCCGATCCTGTTTTCAATGCTTCTTCATTTGCATTTTGTCTGTATTTCTTAATTATTGCCTTCCCAAATACTGGATGGTAATAGCTGTTTGGATGTTCAAACTTATCCCTGAACGCAGATACCAGTCTTTCCATTGGGTCACGTACAAATATAGTTTTAGTGTAAGAGTTCAAACGTGCGTATATCCCTTTCAGGTCATAACTGTCTAGTTTCTTTAGATGCTTACCGTAGTGTACATCATCATGGGAAATGTTGTGAGCTGAAGCAGCAAGTCCACTGAGCACCATGAGAACCCTTTTCCAGTTGGAGCAGCCTGCTTTAGGCACTTCGCAGTACAGGATCTTGTATCTATCCTCCACATAAATCCTTGACACCACATGCACAAGGTGGGTTCGCAGCTTCTTTCCGCTGTTGTATTTTTTACAGAAGCCATAAAGGAAGGATCTGCGTTTTTCCTGGGCACCATCAACATCCTTCCACTTGTCTCCCTTGATTAAACTCTTGTTTAAAGGGCGCATTGCAGGGGGTAAATACAGCTCTCTGAATTGGCTGAGAAACGACTTGGTCATTTTCTGCTGGTCTGACAGTCGGCTCGCCAAGGAGACAGCTACCACACCAAAAGGGTCAGCCTTCCCCTGTGAAGGCTTGCCCCCTGAGGCCACCGTCTCTTGCTTCCTGAGGCCAGTAGCAGTGCTCCTGTTCTTGGCTGCTCTCCTTGGCTCCCCAGGAGGTGGTAACTTGAAATCCTGCAAACATTGAGAGAATGAGACCTTAAAATGCAGCCACAGCACAGCTGAGCTCATCCACATTGTAACAGTGACGAGCATGGTGGTGCTCGTTCACATGCATGCATGGTGGCAAGGCATGTTTAGTACTACAAAACCTGTTTGAACTGCTTGATTGATACACCTAATTTAGCAACAAGCTGGGCTAATTATTGAAATACATGCTTCTGATGCTTACCTGTTAGCAAACAGTAGGTCTTCCTACAAAAATAAATAGCTTAAGCCAAACTTTTTAAGAAATCAGAAGAGGTTCACGCAGGGAGGCTGACAGTACTGGTAGGGATGACCAGGTGCTTTTCTATAGCTAATAGATTTCTTCCCCCATGACAGCACTGGTTGACTTGCACTGGTGTTAATAGCTTTCCACACTGTGCTGGCACAGTCAAGCTAGCAGCTGCTGCATCTACTTTTACCAGCAGGGCTTGGAGCAGGCCTTGTTACTCCGTGGTTGCAAGGCCAGTGCCTGTGGTAGGGGGGCCACGCTACGGTTCCTAAATAACTAACATCAGGGGGTTGGAGCAGGATACAATGACAATGGAAATCCCCCTCCATAAAGGGTCACCTCCTGCCCCCCTACAGATAGATCATGGAAGTGGGATGCACCTGCTTACATGCAGGTACCTGCAATACCAATGTCTGCATCTGATCTAGCTGCCTTCACAGATGATGGGGCAAAACAGTGGCTTTTAGAGCTTATTTCATCTGATCTACTTAAACATCAACATTCATGATATCCAGCTACCTAAGCATCAACCAGCAAACCTGCCAAGACTGTGAAAAGATGGGACTTTCCTCCCAAACATCTCTTCTAATGTTACCAGCTTTTGTGCAGCAGAAATGGCAAAGCTTGGATCTGTGTTTTGTGGTTTCCAGGGTCTAGTAACGTACAAGCTGACCAAAGATTTTCTTGCAGTTTGAGTATTGCTGTTCTCTCATTTCCAAGTGAGTTCTCTTGTGTCTATTAAGGCTTGTATAGTCTTTCTCCCTACAGCAAGCAAGTCTGCAGCATTAGGCGGTCCATCCAACCGCCTATTTTCATTATGCTTCCTGAGAAGGCAGAAGCTGGTCAACACATTTTTAAACTTCTCGGGGCAAATAAAAGATAGCCAGACAAAGAGAGAAGTTAGGCATATGCAGATTGCCTGATTTCATAAGTCTATTTTTTTTTTTTTTGAAATGGGTGTAAGAAAACCCTTTTCCCATAAACTGATTAAATATTTACTGGCAAGTTGATTTTCAGACTGGCAAACCATAAGTGTGGATTTGCGGGGCAGCAAGTTCATAGCTGATTCAAAAAAAGCTGTTAACATTCAGAGGAATAATCTAAGAAAGAGGAATGCATGGAACACAGATCTGAATGCCAGTTTGAAATAAAGCCCATAGAAAAACAAGCAGTTCCAAGGAAAGTTAGCCTATCTGGCAGTATAATAATTTCCAGTGACAAGAAGAACACAGGGGAATCAGGCCATTCTGTACTGCCACAAACTTCTAAATACCAGGTCTTTGTTTTCACTGAACCTTAGTTCAGTAAAACGATTTTTATATTGATGAAAGCAAATAGAGCACAGAGCCATTCAGAACTTATTCATCTGAGACACAGTGCATGTTGGTGTTTATAGAGCTGCAAAAGGCTACTTTAATTGTTTCAGTTTGGCCTGGTCTGCTTCTCAGATATTGTCTCATTTTTAATTCTACTGTCTAATATTTCATTCTTTAAAAAACTAAAATGCACGTGCCTAGAGATTTATCCCTCCTGCTCTAGGATGGAAAGAATTCAGGAGCATGGTTAGGGTATAATAACAGAAGGTGGTACGAGCAGTAAAACAGGAAAGCTCTGCGAGCCTAATGGGAATTTCAGCATCACAGTGAATGACACCTTATAAATGCTACCACGGAATCACAGACTTGCAAATAAAGGGAAATTAAACGTTTTGACCTTAAAAGGAAAACCTGGAATTTAAAAAGATGAAAATGTGTACGGGCTACACAAAAACCAACCGTACAGTACAAGGCTCAACAAAGGTAGGAATGACGTTATACTATGATGATAAAGTAACTGAAGATCATAGATTTATCAGCTCACCTTTAGCAGAAATTTTATAATTCAGAAGAGTCTCTCCAATGATATCTGATTCGACTGAGGTTCCCCAAAACAGGGAAAATTCAAGAGAGGGCAATAGTACCTCATCTCTTCCTACGCTATATAATCTGAATGTAGCAGTCTACTTTAGGAGATAGTGCAAAAACACATAAACCAGCTCAGTATCAAAGTAAATCCACTACAATGAGTCATACACTTCAGAGGAAAGTTCAGGCTTCTGAATTCAGTCTACCATTTTGACTAGTGGAAAGTTGCCTTGGTTCCATCAGGCCACGTGAAAAAAAGGAAGACTGAAATATGTGTGGTTTTGATTTGTTTCATTTCAAATAGTCAGCCTTGGATCCAGGACCAACCTCACATGATAACCTAAGGAGATAGCAGAAGAAGATGGCATTTCAGTTTCAGTAACTGAATACAGCTGTAGGAACTACTGCTGAAGGATTTTTCATGGGATCAAAAACTTCAGAAAAGGATGGGCAGAACCATTCAGTGAAATCGCAGGTAACACCCTAAAGGAACAATATATGCACAGTGGGAATCACTTGAAAGGGGTTTCCTCTAAGCAAGATGAGCTAAAAGAAGAAAAAAACTATCAGGAAGAAAAAGCCCCAAACAGAGGGGGGAAAAAAGACCTAGGGGAAAAACAACGACACAGGAAGTTCTGAGGACAAAAAAAAAAAAAATCTACATATGTAAAATATTATTAGCTGCTTCCCCTTCTCCTTGACGTACATATCCCATAGTGAATACAACAATGCCTAATAAATGTTATCATAAGCTCCACAAGGAAATCTGCGCATGCAGCAAATGCTGGCTGTAACATGCTATATCTAAGAATGGGAAAGGATTATGATAATTTTTAAAGGCATATTGCCAGCTGCTATGGAAGTTCTCCAACTCAAATAGGAGATTAAACTTACCTATATACCTGCCTTAGTTAACTGGATTAGTAACTAGTGACACTGAGATGAATCAAGGAATGAATAGAGCTTTGAGTTTGATGAGAGATATTTCACTGAAAAGGTTTCTTAGGAAATTAACAGGAACTTGAATAGGTAGTGCCATATTTCTTAAATAAAACTACCTAAAAATCTGGTTTATTCAGCCGAAAGCAATATGCTTTGAAAGGATTTTAATATTTTACAATATTAGGCTTACAAAAAGTGATCCATTTTCTTCGGCTTCCTCTTGGTGCTAGCGATTTTTTAGTGCCTCTGTTATGATGCCTTAAAAAGCTGAACTTCTCCATTTTACACTGACTTGTTTTCAAAGTGGAAAGGGGAAAACAAGAAACCCCCGACAAAAAGCAAATACTTTTTTTTTTTTTTTTAAAAAGGGGGGGGGGGGGCATTATACCTATGTTCCTAACAGTCGACTCCACCAGCTGCTGAGCACCATTATTTTTGAAAATACCTAAACGCATACCAACAACAGGCACCAAATAGATAAACCCTTAATGGTCACTAACTGGATTCTGATCATCCTGTGCAAAAGCTTCTGCAGTACTCTGAGACAAGTGTCCAAGTACAGAGACGGCCATTCAAAGTTTCCTAAAAAGCATGTATGTGTGGGAAGTAGTTGACTGGCAAAGGAAACTAAGCTCTGTGATCACCTCGGACAGAGGCAAAGCTGTCCTTGAGACATGCTGACAACCTATGCAGCAGGTTGGATACCTTTCATTGGAGAATTAAAATTCAATGAAGTGTTGTACCCTTGCCAGTAATTATGCAGAGTGCCATGTTCTCTGCTTGCACTGATATGTATGAAAGGAAGTTATGAAATGGCCATGAGTCTAATTTAGAAAAGTATGCGTATAACCTCTGTCTCACTTTGGCTAAGCAGGAACTGAAGAAAGACGTAAAAATTCATTTAAATACAAAGAAAAAAAAAGGAATTTAATAGAGTCTCAGTGTGGTATTTGGCTACTGGAAGGCAGCTCAGTGAAGCTGCTGAAACAAAAGGCATTTCTGAGGTCATTAATGGGTTCACGGATTTTTTCTACATTTTTATTGCTGGAGATTCCCTGCTCCTCCCTCATTCACAGAAGGATTTCTCCTCACTGTAGAAATAAGTAGCCAATACTTTCTCTTATGCACATCGAAGCTATCCTTTCCCCTAGTACCTTCACAAGCCACTGAGGTGGAAGAGATTGACTACTGCCAAGAACGGTTAAGACTCATCCAATTGCGCTTTGTGGTACTTTTACAATGCACTGGTGGGATCTCATCTAGACAGTTTGCAATTAGAGCATCCTGCCATGCAAAAAGATAATGATGTATTGGGAAAAACGGTATTTCAGAGCTGATTTACAAAGATTTAATGGCTTGCAGTGAAGACAGTGCTGTATTTCCTACAGTTTTAGTGTTGGTTATTCATTTTTACTAACCAGAATAATAAAATGAAATGAGTCCAAAAGAAAACGTGGGGTAGAGGAAGAAAGAAAGATTCTGTTATACTGTGCTCTTCTGTGCTACTGAATAACTACGTTTCGGGTATCAGTAACGCTGGTTTGTTTCTCAACAGCTAAAATATCTTCTGTCCTGTAACACAGGCTGCCTCAAATAGTCTTTATGATGCTTCTTAGGAGCAGGCATGTTCACATGCCTGCATGAGTATACTGGGAATATACTGTACTCTGCTTTTCACTGGGGTTTCACTTTCACCGTCACTTTCACTAGTCAAGTGACCGTGGCAGGTTTGAGCGCCTTAAGGACTCTCTCAGCGCTATTATATTAAATACCTAATGTGGGTGCTCTACCAACATGAGTATTCAAGGGTGATAAAAACTTCAGTTCATTCCTTAAGACAAGAGCAGGTTGGAAATATTTTTTCCAAATGAAACTTACGAAAAACAAATATT